TAAAAAAAATTAAAGAAATATTTTTTCTTTGATGCTCAATGTAAGGCAAATAGAGCTAAATGTTAAATTAATTAAATAGGTGTAGGAGTATTAGAGCACTGCTTTCTGTGTCCATAATCTTTGGTATGTTGTGTTTTTGTTTCTACTTATCTCAAGGTACTATTTAACTTCCCCTGTGATTTCTTCTTTCACATATTGGTTATTTGAGAGTGTGTTGTTTAATTTCCACATATTTTTGATTTTTCTGTTCTTCAGCTATTGATTTGTAATTTCATTCAATTGTAATCAGAAAAGGTGCCTTCTATAATTACAATCTTTCCAAACATCTTAAGACTTGTCTTGCTGCCTACCATGTGTTCTATCCTGGAGGATGTTCCATGTGCACTTGAGAGGGATGTATATTAGGCACTTGTTCAGTGGAATGTTCTGTACATGTCGGTGAGGTCCAATTGATCTGTAGTGTTATTAAAGTCCTCTCTGTCCTTATTAATATTCATTCTGGTTGTTCATTTATTATGGAAAGTGGGGTATTAAAATCTCTTTCTCTTGTTTTTTTCTCTCTAATTTTCCCTTCCATTCTGGAAATATTTGCTTCTTATATTTAGAGTTCTGACATTTGATGTACAAATATTAGTTATATTTTCTTTTATCACTATATAATGTCCCCTTTGTCTATTGTATCAGTTTTTTACTTAAATTCTATTTTATCTACTATTAGTATAGCTATCCCTGCTATCTTTTGGTTACAATTTGCATGGACATGTTTTTCCTTTCTTTCACTTTCAGACTTTGTATGCTCATAGATCTAAAGTGAATCCCTTATAGATAGCATGTACTTGGATCCTTGTTGTTTTTTCCCCATGTAGTCAATCTATGTCTATTTATCGAGGAGTTGAATCCATTTACATTTAAAATAATTACAATGGGGAAGGACTTGCTATTGCTATTTTGTGAATTATTATCTGTATGTCTTGCATCTTCTCCCCTCCTTTCCTCTCTTAATACCTTCTTTTGACTTTCATTGGTTTTGTTTATTTCTGCTCCAATCTACTCTAATCTTTTCATTTTCTTCCTTCTGCTGGCTTTGTATTCTGAACAGAGGAACACACTCACCTCAGAGTATTTCACAATATTAATTCAGTTGGTGGCAATGGGAAGGAAACACTGATTGTCCCCAGAGAATAAAAGAACAGCAGAGCTTGGAGTACAATTCTCAGAGCAGACCAGGTAAATGGCAAGTGGCAGGAGAGTTAATTAACCCCTCCTGGAGGGCTTTTCTGGAAGAAAAGATCTGGAAGTGGGTGACACTCACAACCCCTCCTTCTAGTCTCATGATTTCCCAGAGCTACTCTTGGCCACAGTAGGAGGACACACCCACTCATTGACTTCCTGTGGGTGGGACAAGGTCCCTGACTGAATTGTGGTGACCTCTCAGGTACTTGCCACCATGTTCCAATCACATTCCAGTTGGAAATAGGTGAGTGGAATTGTGCAGGCTAGAAGAGATTCTGCTTGCCTGAGGATTCCTTTGTTTTGGCTCAGTCTATATTGGGCATTTGGCGGCAAACTTCACCCAGGTTGAGATTTCATCCTGAATCCAGAAGTTAAGCTATAGCTACAAGTATCTGTTTCTAATATTCAGGGTCAGAAAATAGGTCATAATAGACACACTGCATATTTCTGAGCCCAGGTTTGTCCTGAAATTTCAGAATGACTAGTCAGCCTTCCAGGCCCCAGTTTTCCAACTTTTTGGACCATGCAAAGCACACACTTAGTTGCCTTTTTCCTACCCCAAATTTTCTTTACTTCAGAGTGTCCATGTCTTATGTTCAGTTTCTGGTGGTGTTGGCCATCACAGAAGGGCCCTAGCCTCTCAGACTGGCTTGATTGAATATTAGACATAGGACCCCAGAATGAATAACAAGAAGGGTCAACAGCAGGATGCCAGCTTACAGGGCTGTTTGTGAATGAAGGAGCCCAGGATCCAGTATGTGATAATGATGTAGTGCATATTGCAGAGTTTTTAAAAGTCTACTTTTAGCAGACAAGGGGATGGAGTTTATCAGATTATTTTCACTGTTCATGGACACATAGGTGCCTGGACCAGATATATGGACATGTCAGGATGCACTTTCATTAACTTCACACAGTATAGGTGCCACCATCCCATGTGACACATCACTGATGCAGATGGAATCAATCTGTTTGGTTGGTCATTATGCTTTCCATTTAGAATACTTTGGGGAATTGTCTTCCACTGAAACCATAGATTACTTATCGTCTGGCCCAGTCACAATGAACCACTAGACAGGCGCTCGTGGGGACAAAGAAGACATATTGCAGCCCCGGTTTACAGTACCTCCAGCTTTGACTGACACTGAACTCTCAGGTTGTTTTACTGGAACTCTTCACCTGAAGCTCCTGTAAGAAATGTCAAATCATTGTTCATGTTCCTTGCCTTGGCCCAAGATGTTCTGAGGTTCTGGTATAGATCAAGATGCGATCTCATTACACATCCTTTCAGCCATGTGTACTGGCACCAAAGTATAAAAATTATAAATATGGTTGCCTTATGGGTGAGAAGGAGACTAATGCACAGAAAGGAGGATGGCACCTTCCTTGGGCATCAGGATATGAGGATGGCCTGCAGAATAGCAGGCACTTAAATAAACATATTTACCATGAGGACAAATGCATTTCTATTAAATGAGAAATGTCAAATAGAATTTGTGTCAGATTTTTCTTTATGTTCTGGGATCAGAGAAAAGGCCTCAAGCTAAGGAAAAGGTGTTCATAACCAACATACTGTGTTCAGAGAGTGACCTGGAGAAAGAACCATCTCCCATTTTCTGCAAGCTCTTCCATGATGCAAAAACCCACTCATCCAAAATAAACGTTGAGACTTGCATTCTCCATGAAATTGATATTTTTCCTAATGGGTGAAAATTTGTTCTTAGAGTGTGAAAAAATCTTAACTATCACAATGTTTCATGTTAATGCTCAGCCCTATCCAACAAAATCTTATTCCTCAGTATTTAATTGCTCTTGGTATGTGTTCTTGGGGATCACACAAGCAGCGTTATCATTGAGTTCATGGAAGATACACAGAGTGTATGCAAGATGAATTCTACAAAACTATGGAGGACTTTCTCTTGATGGATTTCTCAAATATAATGCATTTGATTTCTATTGCTGAATAATTTATTACCAAAAACATAGTGGCTTAAAAAAAAACAAGTCTATTATTTCATAGTTTGTGTGAATCAGGAGTTCAGGCACAGCTTAACTTAGCTGTCATTCACAGAAAGAAGATGAGGTGGAGACACAGGGAAATGCCATCTACAATCCAAGAAATATCTGAGGTTAGCAGGGGCTGGGAGAGAGGCCTGGAAAAGATTCTCCCTGAAGTTCATAGTAGCTTTATTCATACTTGCAAAAACTTGAAAACCTGCAAGATGACCTCCAGTAGGTGAACTGGTAAAGAAATTGGTAAATCCAGATAATCAAATATTATTCAGAACTAAAATTATATGTGCTCTCAAGCCCTGAAAAGCTGTGGAGGAATCTTAAATACTTATTAATAACTGAAAGGAAAAATCTATATGCTGCATGATTCCAACTATGTGACATTCTGGGAAAGGGCTCCACCCCATGACTTAATTCATTCCCAAAGACCCACCTCCAAATACCATCACTTCAGGGGTTAGACTTGAACATATGAATTTCGGGAGGGATACAAACATTCGGTCCAAAACAGACTTCCTTAAGTTTTACATAAAGTCCTTGTCTGTGGCAAGGTCCCATGCAGGATACTACACACATTTACTTGTCGTGTCTCCTTAGGCTTCCTCTCAGCTGTGACACCTTCTCTGACTGTCCTTGTTTTTGATGATTTCTACAGATTTGATGAATACTGCTCAGATTTATTGTAGGATGCCCCTCTGTTACATTTTGTCTGATGCTTTTCTCATAATTAATCTAGGGTTATGGGTTTTGGGGAAGGTCCCAGAGGAAACGTGCCATTTTCATCAAATCTACATGATTTATGCCTATTGATATTGATTTATTGTTGGTGAGCTCTTGATGACCTGGCTAACTTGTATTAGTCAGGTTTCCCCACTGTAAAGTAACCCTTTTTCCTCCTTCCATTCATCCCCTTTGGAAGGGAGTCACCATGTGCAGCCCGTGAATTGGGTTTCCCCTTATTTAGAGTGAAGTGTCTTCAAAATTTGAGAGTTTCCTGCAAAGAAGATTTTTTTAAATTCTCCATTTATTAATTTATTAAATTATTTATTTACATCTATATGGACTCATAGATATTTATTATATTTTGGTTTATAATCTGTCTTAGTCTATTTGGGTGCTATAACAAAATATCACAGACTGGATGGCTTACAACAGAAATTTATTGCTCACAGTTCTGGAAGCTCGAGTTCCACTATCAGCTTGGCAGTTTGATTGGGTGAGGGCCTGCTTTTGGATTGCAGATTTCTCATTGTATCTTCACATGGAAGAAGGAACTAGGATGATCTTGGGGGTCTCTTTTAGAAGGGTACTAATCCCATTCATGACAGAGGAGCCCTTATGTACTAGTCATGTTCCAAATGCCCCAACTTCTAACATGGTCACATTGGGCATTAATATTCTAAAATGTGAATTTTGAGGGGACAAAAACATTCAGAATATGTATATATGTGTGTGTGTGTGTGTGTGTGTGTGTGTGTGCATATACATATATATACATATCTATATATGTGTGTGTGTGTGTGTGTGTATATTTCTTGCCCAAATTGTTCCAGCTTTGTCCATTGGGACCTCTTTCAGTTTGTTTCTGAGCCCCCTTGACAAACTCTAATCAATGTCAGTTTTTGCTTTTTGGTTTTGTTTTCTTTTGGTTTTTCACTTCCTTGGGTTCTGAAGAATATTGAATTTTTGATAGGATTTCTGAACACAAAGAAGAGAGATTAGCCTTTAATGAAAAAACTTTAGAACACAAGAGCCAGAGGATGGAATTAGATAATTTTTATTTTGAAATCCAACATCTGGTAAAAACTAATTCATTCATTTATTAAATTAAACAATGGCCTAGTATGTGGCAGTCACTGTTCTGGCACCTGAGGATTCAGAGTCCCTTCTCATAGAACTGATGTCCTGTTTGAGGAAGAGACAACACATACATCAGTGTTCATTTTGCCTGGTGCATGAATTTCAGTTTAGTTAAATAACATCAATCCCCCAACACAGGGTTCAGATTTCAGTCACCACAGGAACTTTACTGTGAACGATACATAACGTACAACTTTGCTGCTAAGTATACTTCATTCCACAAATCATTATGTACTAACAGATGCTCATCGTGATCAGTAACCAATCACATCAATTCTTTGAAAGTCTATAGTGATTGGTCACTGTGACTCTCTTACACAGTTTAGGCACAGACAGCAAAATACGTAGTTGTATTTTCTCCTGTCTCCCAGTGATAAACCCACATGACATTTACAAAAGTGAATAATTATAAAAGGGAACTGGCAACAAAGATGAAAGTGCCATGGAGAGACAAAATATGATGATGCGAGAAGTTATATTCAAACAATATAAATGGATTACAGAAGAAATAGCTGACCAAGGTACCTTAATAGTGTTAGAAAGATTCTAGATATGCAATCAGAAGAACTTAGTAAAGGCAAACTTACCACATAAATGAGGAAAGTCGTGGTGAGGAAAAGAGTGAAAATGTCCCAGAGGAAGTGACAACAGCAAATACTTTGAATTAAAGAAAGTTTGTAAAGATTTCACAACATTGAGAGTACAAGGCATAAAATGTCGGAAACGGATCCAAACTTCGCAAGGAGCATAATTCAGCAAGTTGTAAAAAAGATGCTCTTATATTATAAATTATGCAAGAAGAAGAAGGCAAGCACTGTTCAAACACTTTGGATAAGTTTTTATAAAGAAATAAATTGCTTTAATTCTCAGTGTTTCTAATTTGTCAAACTACATATTATTAGTAGCTGACAGTAAGAGAGTTCCTAATATTTTGAAATCAAATTTTAATGATCACAGAACAATCTTTATTTATCCCATTGATTACTGAGATCACTTTCCATGATTCAGTTTACACGGTAACTTTTATGGTCCTTCTCTACTATGCAAAGTGAGAACTGCCTATGCTTTGTATGTCAGATGGTAATAAGTGTTCAGGAAACAAGTTAATCAGGTTAAGAGGTCATGGAATGCGAGGCTGAGAGAGGAACTGATACTTTATACAGGATGGTATATGGAAGATGCCTTTGATAAAGTGATATTTGAGCAGAGGCTGGAATGAGGGAAGAGAGTGAGCCAGGCAGACATGTTGGAGGAGGAAGCAGAGGAATGATAGGATTTGACTTACATTCCCAAGGAATCACTGAGGCTGAAACAGGAGAGCCAGTCAGAGACTATAGCAATGGTGCAGGAAGAGATGATGGTGGCTGGGACCAGGGAGCAGTGGTGGGGGTGAGAATGTGCAGATTATGGATGCAATTAAGAAGTGTGCTGGAGGGGATTGGTACTGGCTCATGAGAGCTGATATTTACATTTTCAGGAATTTTGCAAACTAGTTGTTAAACTGTTGCTAACTTGAAATTGACCACATTGGGAGTATTTATACCAAGAACTTTTCTTTATTTCTTTTTCCTTTTGGATAGTCAATTGTTAAAGAGTTCCATCTGACCACTGGACATAAACATTTTGAAGGCAGAATTGAATACGTGATATAAAAGAAAGAGAAATCAAGGATGACTCCAGGCTTCTGGACACAGTATACTTACCATGAGCAATAGGGTTGGGAAGGATGCAAGATTATAGAAAAACTACTCTTCCCATCATGGAGAGAGGAGGGAACACTATTTTCTGGGTTTGAGAAGTTGGATATTTAGACAACGAGGAAGGAGAATAATTTTTCTTAAAAGTAAGATGGGGAGTCATTTGTACTAAAGAGGCACCTCAAAGGGTGGGGAGTCAGGTGAAGGCAGGAATCCAGAGGACAGAATAACTCCTCAGCACAGGGCATTATTGTGTAGTTCATGGCCGAGTCCAAGGTGATAGATGAGAGATAACCTGATCTGTGTTGATTTGACTTATTTCTCACGTTCCAGGGAAATGTCCTGAGTCAGCACCCAGAGCTACTTCCCATGATCCTTGCTCAGGACCATGTATGAAGACCCAGCTCTGGTGGCTTCAGGAGCCTGTGGGCAGGCAAGTCTCCATGGAGGGGAGGCATTTGGAGCAGAGTCATGGAAGCTCCCAGTTGAGTCCTTCTCCTGGGCTGGGCCCCTCAGGAAGGGAAGGAGGCAGCAGACACTGAGGGTGACACCAGCAGGGAGGAAGGAAGGAGCTGTGAGAAACATGTCCATATTTAATTATCTGCTCATCACTCAGGAAGCGTTCCTTGCATGCCTCCTATGTGCCCAGGTGTTCTCCTCCTGGGATGCCTGTCTTGAGAGGATGAGCAGCCCCTGGGATAGCACTCTGACCCCTCAGCATCCTCCCCAGGCCTGATGCCCCATCCCCAGCCCTTCTATTCTGTCACATGGAGGGTCAGAGCAGAAGCCGCTCTCAGAATAGCCAATCCAGAGTTCTCAACATTACCTGAAAATGTGGATTCTTTTTGCCCCAAGGAGCCCCAGGACTCAAGTGTCTAGAAATGGTCTCCAAGGGAACCACCCACTCAGCTCCTCCTCATTCAGCACCCTCTGTGCACTTCCTCTACAGAACTGCTAAGAGACACCCTTTGAAAACCCCTGATCCAGCCCACCTCCTCCAGGACCCCCCACACCTCCTGGGAGTTGGGCACCTCTTAGAGGGAAACAGGATACTCCTGAGGGTATTGAGGGAAGTGTGTCCCCTTCTCTTATCCCCATGTGGGCCCTGACCCTGTGTGACCTGTGGGCTGGCTCCCCTACTGACCTTATGTCATCTAGGACAGACCTTGTCCTGCCCTCCCTCCTACCCCAACTTACAGTCAGGCCCAATGCTTCCTGTGGACAAAGATGACAGAGACACTGACCACCAGCAGCACCTTCGGGCCTAGGAGGAGAACTACCAGGAGAGGAGAAGACAGCTCTGGGCCTGGAAATCATCAAGGGACAAGAGGAGCGATTAGAGGGATCACACAGGAGCCATTCCCAGGGGCCTCGACTTACTCCATCTGAGGCCACCTGGGCCCATCAGCACTCTGAGGCTTTGACCTGCATCCTGGGCTCAAGCTTGAGGCAGAAATCAGCATACAGGAGTCCCTCATTCTCCTACTCTCTTTTCTCAGGCTGCAAGGGTGTTATTACTTGAAGAGAAAATGTCAGAAGTGAAAATAACTGTGAGACAAGAGAAAATTCAGCAAATCCTAATAGTCTCTCACTAGGCTGCCATCCCATCTTCAACCAGCCACCAGGAAAATTATGGAGAAATAGATAAGGCAGCTAGAGTTATTTGGAAATACCACCACCAATATAAATTTGTCTAAACTTTGAAAATATTGGAAAAGTGTCCTAAGGAGCACAGATCATAGAAAGGGGTTTAAAAGTATGTGTGATTTAAAAGGGTTGGAACAGAATCCCCAGAATCTGTGCATATGTTACCTTACATGTCAAAAGGGATTAGCAGTAGTGATTTGTTAAGGATCTTGAGATGGGCACATTTTCCTAGTGGAGGCCATGTAATCACAAAGACTTATAAGTAAAAGATTGAGGCAGAACAGTTGGAGGAGATGTGATGTCAGAAGCAGAGGTCAGACTGATGTGAGGCCCTTTGCCAAGGAGTGTGGACACCTCTGGGAGTTGGAAAAGGCAAGGAAATGGATTCTTCTCTAGAGCCCAGCCACCCATTGTAGACTTCTGACCTCTACAACTGTATGATAATGCATTTGTCTTGTATTAAATCACTAAATGTGGTAATTACTTACACTGACTATAGGAACCTAATAGAACAGAGGTGAATAAATGGATATGCATGAGTTAAAGTGCATAACTTCTGGGTAGAAAAATTGGAAAGCAGGAAGATGTGCTGATGGCAATTGAGAGGTAAAGGGAAAAAGAAAAAAGCAGGGGGGAGGGATTTAGGTTCCTGAAAGACAAAAGAGAACCAAAGAATTAGAGGACTCAGAACATTTCTCCCTTATCAAAACCAACCAACCAACCAAAAACTCTGTTAACATCTTGATTTATGCTGTCATAGGGAAGAGAGGTCCATTAGGCTAGAAATATTGTAAAAAACCCCAATACCATAAATACAAACAATAAGATGTGCATCGTCACACCAGACCCACTGAATGCAGGCCTGCAGTGGCTGGAGCCCTCAGATGCCCAGGGTAGGCTTTGGATCCGGGGAGAAGGATCACATCAGCATCTTACACTTCTCTTCAGCCTGCCAACCTAGGTGCTCCAAAAGACATTTCCAGCTTTACTACACTAACAAGCATCATGGGTCAGGCACACAGCAGCACCCTGAAGTACCAGCGCTGGTTGAGCCTGAGCAGAAGATGGAAGATTAAAAAGCATTTACAGGCCATGCCAGACAAGATGGCATGGACTCTTCTCTCCTACTCTCCTCGTTCAGTACAACTTGAACCCTAGAAATAACACACGGGACAAGCATAGAAAGACTCTGAGGTGGAAGAGGAGGCAGACTGTCTAGGGACCTGAGGACTGGAGGAAGAACACAGCAGTCAGGAACCAAGCACAAGAGGAGACACAGTGTGGCACTAGGAAAAAGAAAAAGTCTAAATCAATAATCTAAATTCCTGCCTCAAGAAATGAGAAATGAAGGAGCAAAATAAACCCAAAGCAAGCAGAAGGGAGGAAATAATAAAGAAAGAAGAAAAACCAGTGAAAATGAAAACAGATAAACAACAGAGAAAATAACTGAAACAAATAGTGGGCTCTGAGATAGCCTTATCCACCAGAAGGCAGACAGCAGAAGCAAGAAGAATTACAATCCTACAGCCTGTGGAACGAAAACCACATTCACAGAAAGATAGACAAGATGAAAAGGCAGAGGGCTATGTAGCAGAAGAAGGAACAAGAAAAACAACTAAATGAAGTGGAGATAGGCAACCTTCCAGAAAAAGAATTCAGAATAATGATAGTGAAGATGATCCAGGACCTCGGCAAAAGAATGGAGGCAAAAATCGAGAAGATGCAAGAAATGTTTAAAAAAGACCTAGAAGAACTGAAGAACAAACAAACAGAGATGAACAATACAATACCTGAAATGAAAACTACACTAGAAGGAATCAATAGCAGAATAACTGAGGCAGAAGAACAGATAGGTGACCTGTAAGACAGAAATGGTGGAATTCACTGCTGTGGAACAGAATAAAGAAAAAAGAATGAAGAGAAATGAAGACAGCCTAAGAGACTTCTGGGACAACATTAAATGCAATAACATTCACATTATAGGAGTCCCAGAAGGAGAAGAGAGAGAGAAAGGACCAGAGAAAATATTTGAAGAGATTATAGTCGAAAACTTCCCTAATATGGGAAAGGAAATAGCCACCCAAGTCCAAGAAGCACAGAGAGTCACATACAGGATAAACCCAAGGAGAAACATACCGAGACACATAGTAATCAAACTGGTGAAAATTAAAGACAAAGAAAATTTATTGAAAACAGCAAGGGGAAAACGACAAATAATATACAAGGAAACTCCCATAAGGTTAACAGCTGATTTCTCAGCAGAAACTCTACAAGCCAGAAGGGAGTGGCATGATATACTTAAAGTGATGAAAGGGAAGAAACTACAACCAAGATTACTCTACCTAGCAAGGATCTCACTCAGATTCGATGGAGAAATCAAAAGCTTTACAGGCAAGCAAAAGCTAAGAGAATTCAGCACCACGAAACCAGCTTTACAATAAATGCTAAAGGAGCTTCTCTAAGGGGGAAACACAAGAGAAGAAAAGGACCTACAAAAACAAACCCAAAACAATTAAGAAAATCGTCATATGAACATACGTATCTATAATTACCTTAAAAGTTAATGGATTAAATGCTCCAACCAAAAGACACACGCTTGCTGAATGGATACAAAACAAAACACATATATATGCTCTCTACAAGAGACCAACTTCAGACCTAGGGACACATAGAGACTGAAAGTGAGGGGATGGCAAAAGATATTCCATGCAAATGGAAATCGAGGGGAAGCTGGAGTAGCAATACTCATATTAGACAAAATAGACTTTAAAATAAAGAATGTTACAAGAGATGAAGAAGGACACTACATAATGATCAAAGGAACAATCCAAGAAGAAGATATAACAATTATAAATATATATGCACCCAACATAGGAGCACCTCTGTACATAAGGCAACTGCTAACAGTTAAAAGAGGAGAGCGACAGTAACACAATAATAATGGGGGGACTTTAACATCTCACTTACACCAATGGACCGATCATCCTAAATGAAAATAAATAAGGAAACAGAAGCTTTAAATGACACAATTTAAAGACCAGATAGATTTAATTGATATTTATAGGACATTCCATCCAAAAACAGCAGATTATACTTTCTTCTCAAGTGTGCATGTGACATTCTCCAGGAGAGATCACATCTTGGGTCGCAAATCAAGCCTCAGTAAATTTAAGAAAATTGAAATCATATCAAGCTTCTTTTTTCACCACAGTGCTATGAGATTAGAAATGAATTACAGGGGAAAAAACGTAAAAAACACAAAAACATGGAGGCGAAACAATACCTCACTAAATAACCAAGAGATCACTGAAGAAATCAAAGAGGAAATCAAAAAATATCTAGAGACAAATGACAATGAAAACACGGTGATCCAAAACCTGTGGGATGCAGCAAAAGCAGTTCTAAGAGCGAAGTTTATAGCTATACAAGCCTACCTCAAGAAACAAGAAAAATCTCAAATAAACAATCTAACCTTACACCTAAGGGAACTAGAGAAAGAAGAACAAACAAAGCCCAAAGTTAGCAAAAGGAAAGAAATCATAAATATCAGAGCAGAAAATAAATGAAATAGAAACAAAGAAAACGATAGCAAAGATCAATAAAACTAACAGCTGGTACTTGGAGAAGATAAACAAAATTGATAAACCATTAGCCAGATTCATCAAGAAAAAGCGGGAGAAGGCTCAAATCAATAAAATTAGAAATGAAAAAGTAGAAGTTACAACAGACACTGCAGAAATAAAAAGCATCCTAAGAGACTACTACAAACAAGTCAATGCCAATAAAATGGACAACTTGGAAGAAAAGGACAAATTCTTAGAAAGGTATAACCTTCCAAGACTGAACCAGGATGAAATAGAAAATATGAACAGACCATCACAACTAATGAAATTGAAACTGTGATTAAAAATCTTCCAACAAACAAAAGTCCAGGACCAGATAGCTTCACAGGTGAATAATATCAAACATTTAGAGAAGAGCTAACACCCATCCTCTTAAACTCTTCCAAAAAATTGCAGTGGAAGGAACACTCCCAAACTCATTCTATGAGGCCACCATCACCCTGATACCAAAACCAGACAAAGATACTACAAAAAAAGAAAATTACAAACCAATATCACTGATGAATATAGATGCAAAACTCCTCAATGAAATACTAGCAAACAGAATCCAACAACACATTAAAAGTATCATACACTATTGGGCTTCCCTGGTGGTGCAGTTGTTCAGAGTCCGCCTGCTGATGCAGGGAACATGGGTTCGTGTCCCGGTCCGGGAAGATCCCACATGCCACGGAGCGGCTGGGCCCGTGAGCCATGGCTGCTGAGCCTGTGCGTCTGGAGGCTGTGCTCTGCAACGGGAGAGGCCACAACAGTGAGAGGCCCATGTACCGCAAAAAAAAAAAAAGTATCATACACCATGATCAAGTGGGATTTATCCCCAGGAAGCAAGGATTCTTCAATATATGCAAATCAATCAATGTGATACAATATATTAACAAACTTAAGATAAAAACCATATGATTATCTCAAGAGATGCAGAGAAAGTTTTTGACAAAATTCAACACTGATTTATATAAAAAACTCTCCAGAAAGTGGGCATAGAGGGAAGCTACCCCAACTTAATAAAGGCCATATATGAGAAACCCACAGCAAACATCATTCTCAATGGTGAAAAACTGACAGCATTTCCTATAAGTTCAGGAACAAGGCAAGGATGTCCACTTTCACCACTATTATTCAACATAGTTTTGGAAGTCCTAACCACAGCAATCAGAGAAGAAAAAGAAAGAAAAGGAATATAAATTGGAAAAGAAGAAGTAAAACTGTCACTCTTTACAGATGACATGATACTATATGTAGAGAATCCTAAAGATGCTACCAGAAAACAAGTAGAGCTAAAAAATGAACTTGGTAAAGTTGCAGGATACAAAATTAATGCACAGAAATCTCTTGCATTCCTATACACTAATGATGAAAAATCTGAAAGGGAAATTAAGGAAACACTCCCATTTACCACTGCAACAAAAAGAATAAAATACCTAGGAATAAACCTACCTAAGGAGACAAAAGACCTGTATGCAGAAAACTATAAGACACTGATGAAAGAAATTAAAGATGATACCAACAGATGATACCAACATATACCATGTTCTTGGATGGGAAGAATCAATATTGTGAAAATGAGTATAGTACCCAAAGCAATCTACATATTCAATGGAAACTCTATCCAATGGCATTTTTAATGGAACTAGAACAAAAAATCTTAAATTTTGTATGGAGACACAAAAGACCCCAAGTAGCCAAAGCAGTCTTGAGGTAAAAAACGGAGCTGGAGGAATCAGATTCCCTGACTTCAGACTATACTACAAAGCTACAGTAATCAAGACAATATGGTACTGGCACAAAAACAGAAACATAGATCAATGGAACAAGATAGAAAGCCCAGAGGTAAACCCATACACCTATGGTCAACTAATTTATGACAAAGGAGGAAAGGATATACAATGGAGAAAAGACAGTCTCTTCAATAAGTGGTTCTGGGAAAACTGGACAGCTACATGTAAAAGAATGAAATTAGAACATTCCCTAACACCATACACAAAAATAAACTCAAAATGGATTAGAGACCTAAATGTAAGACCGGACACCATAAAACTCTTGGTGGAAAACATAGGAAGAGCACTCTGACATAAATCACAGCAAGATCTTTTTTGATCCACCTCTTAGAGTAATGGAAATAAAAACAAAAAGAAACAAATGGGGTCTAATGAAACGTAAAAGCTTTTGCACCGCAAAGGAAGCCATAAACAAGATGAAAAGACAACCCTCATAATGGGAGAAAACATTTGCCAACAAATCAACGGACAAAGGATTAATCTCCAAAATATATAAACAGCTCATGCAGCTCAATATTAGAAAAACAAAAAACCCAATCCAAAAATAGGCAGAAAACCTAAATAAACATTTCTCTAAAGAAGACATACAGATGGCCAAGAAGCACATGAAAAGCTGCTCAACATCACTAATTATTAGAGAAATGCAAATCAGAACTACAATGAGGTATCACCTCACACCAGTTAGAATGGGCTTCATCAGAAAATCTACAAACAACAAATGCTGGAGAGGGTGTGGAGGAAAGGGAACCCTCTTGCACTGTTGGTGGGAATGTAAATTGATACAGCCACTATGGAGATTCCTTAAAAAATTAAAAATAGAATTACCATACGATCCAGCAATCCCACTACTGGGCATATACCCAGAGAAAACCATAATCAAAAAGACACATGCACCCCAATGTTCACTGCAGCATTATTTACAATAACCAGGTCATGGAAGCAACTTAAATGCTCTTTGACAGACAAATGGATAAAGAAGATGTGGTACATATATACAATGGATATATGTACCATATATTTTGTGGCTCAGCCATAAAAAGGAACAAAATTGGGTCATTTGTTGAGACGTGGATTGATCTAGAGACTGTCATACAGAGTGAAGTAAGTCAGAAAGAGAAAAACGAATGTCGTATATTAACGCATATATGTGGGACCTAGGAAAATGGTACAGATGAACCGGTTTGCAGGGCAGAAATTGAGACACAGATGTAGAGAACAAACGTATGGACACCAAGGGGGGAAAGCAGAGGGGGGTTTGGGGTGGTGGTGTGATGAACTGGGTGATTGGCATTGGCATGTATACGCTGATGTGTATAAAATTGATGACTAATAAGGAAAAAAAAGAGTGGGTTCTTTTAAAAGACCAATAAAATTGAAAAACTTCTAGTACAACTGCAAAGAAAAAATGAATGACACATTTCCAATATCAGGAATGAAACAGAGGACATCTGTTTCCAGGAAGGAAACAGAGGACATCACTACAGACCCTTCAGACATCAAAAGGATAGTTAGGGAATGTTATGAAAAACTATACAGGCAGAAATTTGACAACTTAGAGACAATGGAACAAATACCTCAAAAAGCAGAACCTACCACAGCTCACACTATATGAAATGAATAATCTGAATAGTCTTAAACAATTCAAATTCTTTTTCAAATAAAAAAATAAATTCTCAAGGCCCAGATGGAGTCATGGAAAATTTTTGCCAAGAACTTACAGATGAATTAAAATTTTGGTGCACAAAAACAACAATAAAATACATTTTGGAAAATTTGAATTTATACTCCATTTTAAATGATATTAGGGGATTAATATTGATTATATATTAAGTGTGCACTGGTATTAGTTTTGTAGAAAATCAAGGTCCTTAACCGTATGACCACACAATTGTGGACTCCACTGACAACTGGTTGTGCACACAGGAGTAAGTTAATGTGAACACAATTGTGCAACTTCTCTATATCTCTTGTTTAAGGGAAGTTGTTTGTTCTCCCCTTCCTCTCTTTATTCTTCCAGCAGGCAGGGACATGGTCACTCAGTGACCTAGCATTGACCCCGAAGTTGAGGACAACACCACGGGCATGTTGGAAGGAACGTGGGACTTTGAAAGGTCTTCTGGAGGAAAGACTCCTGGATGTGACTCGACCCTCCCTTGATGTTACATGACAGCCTATAAGACATGTTTTATTCATAGAAAGGGGGACTGTCCTTGGGACGATGCCCAGCTGAGGGGGAACCTGTCTTTAATTAGCACATATCTGTTATAAAGGCTGGTGGTTCCTGTCCTCAGGGACTCAGATTCACCTTTATTAGTTTAGCCCAATCATCTGAACTAAAGGCAACAAATCTTCAACAGCATCCCCCGTCCTCCATTTCTCCCTGAGTCTCTTCTGTTAAACTCCAAACCCTCTGGGTTGCTGAGGCAGGAAAAGAGATCACAGCTGAACTGAGATCTGCATTTAGAAAATGTTCAGTGAGTGACTGTGATCATTACTAGTCCATTGTCACAAATCAGGGGACAAAGGAGCCCTGTGCAGTGACCACTCATGGTCACCTGGGTGCCAGGTTCAGACTCAAACTTCATGTCCTCAGGGCTACCCTTCCAAAATTTCACAGAGTATTAGGTGCAGGTGTCTACTGGGGTGATGTTACTGATATGGATGGAAAAGTCTAGGCTGGAGAGAGACTAAGCAGAGGTTAGAAAGAACAAGGAGGAGGGAGGTGGGTGGGTGGACCGGGAAATGAGGAACATAATTACTGTTAGTTGAAGAGAGCGAGAGGCAGGACTCTATGAACAAGATGATCTCCCTCCTTCCTACTTTCTTTCATGGATATTTATGTCAAGAGATCTAAAAAGAATATGCCAAACTCTTACCAGTGGTCACTCTTGGGGGTGTGGGATTTGGGGGAGGGAACTTATTTTAAAATTCTCTTTTACACCTATTGACTTCTATGTTGTTCTATAATAAGCATGAATTACTACCTTTAATATTAAATAAAGAAGGTAAAGAACTGGGTCAGTTGGAGTGGAGGCCTCACCAATACGTTGATCTGCATCCTGGTTCTTCTGGGGAGCAGAGGCCTCCAGGGTGTGGTTTTTGGTGACCGCCGGCTGTCCGTCATGCTCCACCTGGCAGGTGAGCAGCACAGCCTCCCTGTGGGCAGATGAGTTCACCAGGAGCGAGCTCGTCCGGTTAAAGGTTCCGTCCTTGTTCTCTATGAGGGTCGAGGCCATGTCCATTCGGGACACATTTCCGTTCTCCAACCAGGTCAGCTGTAGGCGCTGGGGGTAGAACTTGTTCACCTGGCAGGTGACATTCACCTGGTTCCCCACCCTGGGGTGTTGGGTAATCGTCAAGGTAGGCGGAACTGAAACAGCATAGGCAGAAGCTCTGACCTTATGGAACCAACAGGTCACAGGAGAGGGGCTGGATAACAGCTTCCAGCACAGCAAGGGAGTCACCAGAGGACAGAGTCAGGCATGCAGCAGGTGCTCAAACACCGAGGGTCTCTTTGCATATAAATGAAATCATAAGCACACTGCAGGGCACACAGTAGGTGCTCAAGGACTGGGCTCCTATTAGCTTAATAATGTGTGCCATCTACAAGCACAGCCCCTGGCATGCAGTTGGAATATAATAACTGCAGCAAAATATACGAAATCACCAAGCACATAGGGGCCTGGCTTATAGTAGGTGCTCAGTAGTTGGAGAAACTATTGATAAAGTAAAGGAAACTACTTAGCACAGTGCTTGGCACATGTGGGTGTCCACCTGGCAGCTGCCGTTAAAACAGTAGTTAGTGACCAGCTCATCTAGGAGCCTGGTGATGGGGCAGGACTGTCAGGAAGTAGATTCCAGGCAATTTGAGGCTTGGAGCAAAAAGCAGGGAGGAGGAACAGGCTGGGACCTTGAGGGCAGGTGTGGGCTTAGGCTGGCATGAGGGGCTTCTACCTCGGATGGTCTCAGACAAGTTGGCTGTCCCACGAAGAGGAGGGTCTCCCTGCAGGGTGATGTGGGTCACCTCGCAGATGACCTGGGAATGAACATCCCCCGGGGCCAGCACCACCTTGGTTGTGCTGGAGATGCTGTAGGAAACGTTGTTTCCCTCTGGTTCCACGTCGGTCTGGGAGGCTGAGAGCTCATTGCCATTTTTGAGCCATTTCAGGGAGATGTTTCTGGGGGAGAACCCGTGGGATTTGCAGGTGAAGCTCACTGTCTGCTCAGGTGCGACCCTCACTGCGGGGCCTGATACCACAGGAGGAGAGGGTTTGGCTACAAAAGGAACAGTTATAAATGATGAACATGATTGTCATTATCATCACTAATGATAAAAGTGTGACACAGTTAAGAACCACCACACATATTATGTTTTAAACTCTTCCAGTAGTTCTGGGAGGGCAGTGTCATCATGCTCAACTGACAGAGGAGACACACAGGTTCCCAGAGGCGACTCTGAGCCAGGGGCAGGGCTGACATCGAATTCCAGGCCTGAGTTCAAAGTCCACCTTCTCACATCTGCCAGGTGATTTCCCACCAGTCTGGGCAAAGGAACAAAAGTACTGATTGGTCTTACTCTCCTATTAACTGTTCCTAGCTGGCTCCCCCTGGAAAACTCAGGTAAGTTCGGAGAAGTGTTTCCAGAAATAAATGCAGGGGAAGCAGGGTCATAGCGGGACCACATGGAAGCTGAACCAGGCTGACCGTCCAACAAGAGCTGTGCCCATGGCACCTCCCAGCTCCTCATCTGTGAAAGGGGACAGCAGGCATTACCCTTCCCAGGCTGCAGTGAGGGTTAAATCGGGCAGTGGGAGCATTTTTGCTATGAGTAAAACACAAGATGATTCTCAAAACCAACAAACACAGATCCCTCTTTAACCTGGACTGTATTTATACCCAGAGCTGTCCCTTCAGGTGTTTATGAATTTACTGCATAGTTTTCATTCTTTCCACGACTATTTCTGTAGGACTAATGTGCCAATCCGTGAATTTCAAAGGAAGGGGGCAAAGGGATGTTTTTCTGAGTCTGGGTTCTTCTCTTGGTTCAGTTTTGGGTTGAGAAGAAAGATCACTGAGTGCTGAGAAACCAGTGGTGGTTAATTTCTTAATTGTTATTAAATCTGTAGAGACACAGGCACAGACCTATAAAGCACCCAGAAACACACAAATGGGTAAATCAAACGTGCGGGTAGTTTCTCTCTTTAGAAGGTTCCTGTAGGGTGTCTCCCAATTGTTCATTGTTACTCAACACCTCCTGTAAAAGTCAGCAAACATTACAAATATTTGCATTTGTAAATACTTAACTTGCTTCTTAAAACTCATCAAACGTTTGAGGACATTGCAAGGAGTTACCTTAAAATGTCAAATTGTATAAACACCAGCATCCTGGACACCCCTAAAGGGACAAGATACTCTGATCAGTTACCACTTGTCCAGAGTTTCTTCAGAGCCTAAAGATGGCCTGATCTCTCCATCACCCTCAGCTCTTTAATTCCCTTGCCAGCCCTGTGAGGGAGGTCCAAGAGTGACTCCATATATGGGATGAGGCTCAGGGAGGACGAAGCTGGACAAGGGCACCCAGCAAGTAAAGGTCAGAGCTCATCTCACTGCACGCAGGACAGATCGATTTTAGTGTCACTGTTCGTTATCCTCGATCCTCAGTGTCTGTTTCTGGACAAAGTAGATACAAGCACCACCTGGTAAGATGAGCGAGGATATATGTAAAACACGGAGCCTGACATATAGTAGGTGATTAATCAATAACACCCATAATTTGTAAAAAATGAATAACACCCATGATTGTTATCATAAGATCTGGCCATTCTAGTTCTAAAACTACGCATTTATTTTTTAGGCAGTAAGAAGGCAAAACAAAAGCACAACAGAAACACCAAGAAGAGTCTCAAATCGTGCTCCATGCAGCTGCTGTCAGACAAAAATCCACAGGAAAAAACTAGTAGAAACACCAAATTATAAATCTGTTCCCATTTTTAAAAATAATTCCCTCAAGAAACAAGTTTGGGGAATTGGTTTTCAAAACACACAAGAGATCACAGGCATTTTCCTGCAGATCAGCTCTTTACAGAAGCTGTAAGCATTTTGAAAGGAGGAAGAACAGATTTTGGCAGTGTCACTATGGCGTGTTGAGGCAGGAGGTCTCCAGGCTGAGCAGGGAGCATTTGCAGGCATTCCAGAGCCTGTTTACACACACACGTGTGTAAAGATGGGAAGGTTTCCCCAGTGATGAAGCTCAGGTCTGAACAGGGTGGTCTGAGTTGGGAGGACGCACCTCTCAGCCCAGGTGAGCTCTGTTGGAGGTGGGGTGTGTGCCTGCCAATCGACTCCGAATGACTTTCTTGGGCGTCCTAAAAAGCTGTCACCGTCACGGGCTATTCTGAAGCACTCACACCCAGGAGAGCTGTTCGTACAACCCAGGCACCACGGGTGACCCGCCTCTGTCCTGGAAAAACCGCAGCTTTCCCTCTGACCTCAGAGAACGCGTGACTCAGGGCTCCTCTGCCCTAGCAGGGCACCAGCATCCTCTGCAGGAGTGAACAGACTCAGCTGCCCAGGCCCACGTCTGGCCAATTAAATCAGAATTGCTAGGGTGGAACCAGGGTCTAGGGATCTTTTACCATCTCTCAGGTGATTCTAATAAGCAGCCAAGGTCAAAAGGAACCCAGCTCCACCCCAACCCCAGTTGTACTTAGTCCTGTAGAGAAAGCGACCCATCCGAGGTCCTCTGGCTCCAGCACATCAGAGCTCACGTTGTTGGAACACGTACCATATGCCAGGATCTGCTCTAAGCTCTAGACATGTGTCCCACATTCAGTTCCTGCAGATGCTCTGTGAGGGCAGGGCTGTCACTGACGGATGAGGATACGAAGCCCCAGTGTGGGGAGGGACTCGTCAGAGTTCCCAGAGCTGGGACGGGGCAGAGCTGGGATGGAGGCCCAGACAGGGGGGGCTCGGCCCAGGCTCTCAACCGCTGTGCACTGAGCTCAGTGATACCCAGTCCACCCCATCCAGGGCTTCCCAGATGCTCTCGAGTCATCACAGACCCCTGAAAGGCAGCGTGATTACCACCATTTTACAGATGGGGAAACTGAGGACTAGAGGGAACTGAGACTTGCTAAGATCACACAGTCTGGGAGGCCAGCACCATCGTTCCCTGAGGGGCTGTCTTGTCACCAGGTCGTTGTACCCTCAGGACATAATGCAAAGGCTGTGAGATCATCCTCTTTCTACAGGTGAGGAAATGGGACCCAGCACAGGGAACTGGGTCACAGCCTGGAAATAACACCTCGATTTGGGGGGCCCCTACTCTGTGCTGGTGATTTAGACAGAGCACCTCAAATCCTTCCAACTCTCCTGAAAGGAGACCATGATGATCACCATTTGACAGATGAGAAAACTGAGGCTGAGAGAAATGAAGGGATTGTCTCCTCACCCTCCCCACCCACTGTGTCCCAGAAGTGTTTCCTGTCACCTCCAAGCTTTCATGGACATCAGCAGAGCAAGCACCCCACCTTCACAAGCCCCCACACTGACCACCACCCTCCCCTTTTCCCTCTGAGATTCTTGACTTCAAGCAACTACAGGGAGGAGTGGCTTCTGAGTGCCCAGGCCTGGGACCCTGTAGCAACAAGGGAAGACATGGGCCCCTGACACCTGAGTCTACAATATGAACTCTCGCTCACGCGGGGCCCCCAGCGCCCTCTAGGGAGCACCTCCCCCTCCTCATCCTCAGCCTGCAGAGCCAGGAATGGGCGTGCATGGTGCTGCTGGGACTGCACTGGCCCCTCTCTGGGCTGTCCACGCTACACTTCCCGGAGCTGCTCCCCCATGAGGCCTAGTGAAGAAGCAAGATCGCAACAACGGAGAGAAAAACTCCTGGTGCTTTTAAGTGTGCTGAGCCCTGCATTTTAGGAACACTCAGCGCATCGTGAGACACTGTAGTATCTGTCTGACCTGTGGTAAAGCTACACTTGCCTCCCATACAGGACTTTTAAAATGCTTATTGCTAAAGAACAGAACAATACAAGGTTTTAAGAGGACAGGCCTGGAGTTTTCTCCACACTTGACAAGCACAGTGGGGTGTGCAGAGAGCAGGGCCGTGAGTCTAGGTACTTGGGCTCAATCTTGGCTCCCCTACCTGCTCACACATCATGTCCTCTCTCTGAGCCCCAGTGTCCTCATATGTAAAAGGGACAACAGACAGCCCTACCCTCAGAGCACTGATTATAAGGAGTAAATGCCATGAGGAAGATTCAGAATCTGACAGGCTGCTGCTCCCCTCCCCCTCCTTCCCTTCTCATCCAGGGAATCCTCTGGGCAGGCGGCCTGGGGAAGAGGACGAGCAGCCTCCTGGGAGGCAGCAGATCTGAGTGGTGGTGGAGCCACTTATTAGCTGTGATTGGCTGAGCAAGGAACCGACAATCTGGGAAGTTTAGTAATATCGGCAAAATCAGGATAAAGCCACCTTGCCTGCTAATGCCTGGAGCTCTGGGAAGATTCCTTTGCTACCATGACTAGGAGGGAAAGTTGGCAATATAATCACACAAATTAAAATACACATACTCTCTGATCTAGCAATGCTACTTCCAGTGGGTGTTTCCCCTTTGAGGAGAGTGACACATGGAAAGGTTATCCACTGCAGTGCTGTTTCGATAGCCCGAGGTTAGGAACACCTTAGTATCCGTCAACAGGAGACTGTAAAATGAAAACGATTGTCTCCATACCCTGAATGTTAAGTAGCTATTGAAACAATGCCCAGCTCTAGGTGCAGATATGGAATGAGGGATTTGGGATCACGTGACTGAAAGTACGGAGAAGTTTCCAGTCACCTCAGGACTTAGGGCCTGAATGCGAGGAGCCTTCTGACCCTATGGGAAAGCAATGAAAACATCATATTCAATGGTTAATTCAAGGAACTTTTATTCTTTAACTTCCATGTACCAGGCTCTTCCATGAAACCAGTTCCAATGCTGGTACAGGAAAGAGCCTGGCCTGGAATCAGATTGGGTTCTGGAAGGATCCCCTCACTCACTGACCATGGGACTGTGGTCTGGGTTCCAGTCACCTCTTGGCCTCTGGCCACCATCTGTACATGGAGCATTGGGCAGACAGTGTCAAAAGGTCTCTCCTGTGTCACAGTCCAGGATTCAGGAGTTAGGAAGAGGATCCAGGGTCTTTGTCAGAAAACTCTTAATGAGTGCCTTTGCTGCTTCAATGGGGCAGCCCCTAAGTCAGCCACATGGGGAACCTCTTCCCTGGGGAGGGACATTCTGAGATGACCCAGCTCTGCTGGGAGCCTTCAGTGACTCTGTGAGTCAGTCCCTGAATCACAGGAGGGTTTTCCCAACAGACCCCCAGGAAACACCCAACCTCTGGGCATCTCCTCTAGCCTGGGCCATCAGAGTAAACACTGAACCTATGCCTCTAGGAATTTCTTCTCAGTGTGATATTTCTGAAGAGGAAATAAAGAAACCCTGCCCTGGATAGACTTCTCTTTGGAAGGGGAGAGAACATATGTTCCACGGGAGAAGAGCCTTGTCTGCTTTGTTCACTGCTGCTTCCACAACATCTGGAGCAGGGCCTGGTACACAGTAGGTGCTCAATAGGTGCTGAATAAAGAGAAGACTCAGCCACATTGAGGGGAGCACTCTCTGGAGGCAGGAGGTGATACCTGGGCTGTGATGGGGCAAGTCGCTCAGACCTCCAGTTCCCTCATCCCTGGAACCAAAGGGCTAGACGGGATGGAAAAGGCAAGGGCTGTGGAGCCAGGCACACTGGGGTTCCAGACTTTTCCCAGCTTTACCAGTTGTGGGGCCTTTGGCAAGTAGCACGACCTCTGCAGGCCTCAGTCTCCCTGATCTCAGTCTCCCTTCACACCCAGAAGGGAGTGAAATCAGATCGTGATATAAACACCCACTGCTGCACTTGATCCTTTTTTTTTTCTTTTTTCTCAAAGGGTGGAGGGCATTCTTGTTGACTTGTTGTCACAGACCAGGGGGACAAAAGAGACCCAGGCCATACTCACCACTCACAGTGAGATGAGTGCCTGGTCCAGACTTAACCTCCACGTCAGGGCTTGCTTTCTTGAACTTCACACAGTAGTACATACCGGTGTCTGCTGGCGTGATGTTACTGATGCGGATGGAAAAGTCCATGTTGTTTCTCCTTGTAGTATCTGCAACAGTTGTTACTCGAGGGAAGGGGCCTCCTCTGAGACTGTAGATTAACTCCCGGCCTGGCCCTGTGCCCCTGAACCAGTTAGTGCGCCCCACGGGGAGCAGGGAGGTCACGTCGCAGCGCAGAGTGGCCGTCTCTCCTGCTGCAACTGAAACTGACCTGTCAGGCTGAATCACCTGCAGCTCGTCCTCACCTGCCACTCCTGGAGGGAAACACAATCCAGTTACTTATTCACCCTTAGGTGATCCAGTAGGTTTTCTCAGTTATTTATCAACAACAGTTTTCATTAACTTAGTGCACCATGAGCCACACCTGAACTCAGCCCATTGCGTGTATATTGCATGCAACCTTTACAATGAACCTATAACGTGAGACCCTAATACAAGAGAGGAATTGAGGCACAGAGAGGTTAAATGATGTGGCAGAGAAGGAGTTTGAGTACTTGAGCCCTCTTTGGACGTGTCATACTTCACCAGATGTTCCTGGCTGTTCACTTTGTGGCCTCCTGGAGTGCTGCACTTCTGGCCTTTGCATTAGGTGAGACCACATGGCTTCTTTAGACCACTGAGTTGTGAGGAGAAGTGATGGATATATTTCGTAGGTTATTCATTTAACTGCAAGAGGCTTTATGGACAAACTTACATCTTCCCCAGAGATCCACATTCTCATGATGAGGTTGGTTCCAACAACCTGGATACTTGACTGGCAGTGATGTGCAGAGCTCCCAACACAATGAACATTTAGTTTAAGAAGAAAGCAAAATATTGTTTCAAGTCCCTAGCATTTTTTCCCAATGACATAGTCATGTTTTATTAGTTACCTAAGGCTGCTGTAATAAATTATCAAAAATTTAGTGCCTTGAAGTGACAGTTTTATTATAATTCTGGATGTCAAAGGACCAGAAGTGGTATTACTGGACTAAAATCAAGGAGTTGGTTGGGCTACATTTCTTCTGGATGCTCTGATCATTGTCTCTCCAAATTTTTGAGACTGCCTACACTCCTTTTCTCATGGTTTCCATCTTCTTATGACTCTAATGTTGCTTCCATTGTCACTTGTACTTCTCTAACTTTGGCTTTCCTGCCTCATTCTTATAAGATTATATTGGGCCCACAATGATAATCTAGGATATTCTCCCCATAGCAAGGGTCTTAACTTAATCACTTTTACAAAATCTCTTTTTCCAAGTAAAGTAAAATATTCACAGGTGAGTATACGACATAGATCTCTTGGGGGGGCTACTTCCTTTTTTCTTTTTACTTGATTTATAACTTTTTTATACTGAAGTATTGTTGATTTACAGTGTTTTGGTAATTTCTGCTGTACAAAAATTGACTCATTTATACATATATATACTCTTGTATATATATATATATATATATACATTCTTTTTTTAATATATTCTTTTCCATTATGGCTTATCATAGCATACTGAATATAGTTCTCTGTGCGATATAGTAGGACCTTGTTGTTTATCCATTCCATATATAATAGATTACATTACCCCTACCCTCTCCTCCTTGGCAACCACAAGTTTGTTCTCTATGTCCGTGAGTCTGTTTCTGTTTTGTAGATAGGTTCATTTGTCTCATCTTTTTTTTGGGGGGGGGGGTGTCCATGTGGCATAGCTTGCGGGATCCTGGTTCCCCGAACAGGGATCGAACCCAGGTCCCCTGAAGTGGAAGTGTGGAGTCCTAACCACTGGACCACCAGAGAATTCCCTGTGTCATCTTTTAGATTCCACATATAAATATCATATGGTGTTTCTCTTTTCTCTTTCTGACTTACTTCACTTAGTATGATAATATCTAGTTGTGTCCATGTTGCTGCAAATGACATTATTTCATTCTTTTTTATGGCTGAATAGTATCCCATTGTATATATTTACCACATCTTCTTTATCCATTCATCTGTCGATGGACTTTTAGGTTGTTCCCATGTCTTAGTTATTGTGAATAGTGCTGCTATGAACATAGGGGTGCATGTATCTTTTTGGATAAGAGTTTTGTCTGGATATATGCCCATGAGTGGGATCACTGGATCATATGGTAATTCTATTTTTATTTTTCTGAGGAACCTCCATATTGTTTTCCATAGTGGCTGTACCAACTTACATTCCTGCCAACAGTATAGGAGAGTTCTCTTTTCTCCACATCCTCTCCAGCATTTGTTATTTGTAGAGCTTTAAGGGTGACCATTCTGACTGATGTGAGGTGGTACCTAATTTTAGTTTTGATTTGCATTTCTCTAATAATTAGTAAGCATCTTTTCATGTGCCTATTGGCCATTTGTATTTATTCTTTGGAGAAATGTTGTTGAGTTGTATGAGCTGTTTGTATATTTTGGAAAGCAAGCCCTTGTTGGCGAAATCCTTTGTGAATATTTTCCCCCAATCAGTAGGTAGTTTTTTTTTGTTTTGTTTATGGTTTCTTTTGCTATGCAAAATCTTGTAAGTTTGATTAAGTCCCATTGTTTGTTTTTATTTCTATTGCCTTGGGAGACTGACCTAAGAAAACTTTGGTACAATTTATGTCAAAAAATGTTTTGCCTATGATCTCTTCTAGGAGTTTTATGGTGTCATGACTTATGTTTAAGTCTTTAAGTCATTTTGAGTTTATTTTTTTGTATTGTGAAAGGGTATGTTCTAATTTCATCGATTTACATGCAGCTGTCCAAATTTCCCAGCACCGCTTGCTGAAGAGACTGTCTTTTTCCCATTATATATTCTTGCTTCTTTTGTCAAAGATTAATTGACTGTAAGTGTGTGGGTTTATTTATGCGCTCTCTATTCTGTTCCATTGATCCATTTGTCTGTTTTTGTGCCAATACCATGGTATTTTGAGTACTGTAGCTTTGTAGTATTGTCTGAAGTTTGGGAGGGTTACGCTTCCTGCTTTGTTCTTTTTATTCAGGATTGCTTTGGCAATTCTGAGTCTTTTGTGGTTCCATATAAATTTTAGGAGTATTTGTTCTAGTTCTGGGGAAAATGTCATGGGTAATTTGATAGGGATTGAATTAAATCTGTACATTGCTTTGGGCAGTATGACCATTTTAACAATATTAATTCTTCCAATCCAAAAGCATGGGATATCTTTCCTTTTCTTTGAATAATCTTCAGTTTCCTTTATTAATGTTTTATAGTTCTCAGTGTATAAGTCTTTCACCTCCTTAGTCAGGATTATTCCTAAGTATTTTATTTTGGGGGGTGTGAGTTTTAAAGGTATTGTTTTTTTTTACATTCCCTTTCTGATATTACATTGTGAGTGTAAAGAAATGCAACCAATTTCTCTATATTAATCTTGTATCCTGCTACCTTGTGGCATTTGTTGATCATTTCTAATAGTTTTTGTGTGGAGTCTAGGATTTTCTATATACAGTATCATGCCACCTTCATATAATGACAGTTTTACCTCTTTCTTTCCAATTTAGATACCTTTTATTTCTTTTTCTTGTCTGATTTCTGTAGCTGGGACTTCCAATACTATGTTGAATAGAAGAGGTGAGAGTGGGCATCCTTGTCTTTTTCCAGATTTTAGTGGAAAGTCTTTCATATTTTCACCATTGAGTATTATTTTAGCTGTGCGTTTGTCATAAATAGTTTTGTTCCCTGTATACCCGCTTTAGCAAGAGTTTTTATCATGAATTGATGTTGAATTTTGTGAAACGTTTTTTCTGCATCTATTGAGATGATCATGTGCTATTGTTTCTGGGGTGTATCATATTGATTTATTTCTGTATGCCAAAACATCCTTGTGAACTTGAGATGAATCCAACTTGTCCGTGGTGTATGATCTTGTTTATGTGTTGTTGGATTTGGTTTGCTAATGTTTTGTTGAGAATTTTTGCTTCTATATTCATCAAAGATATTGGCTTGTAATTTTCTTTTTTGGTGGCGTCTTTGTGTGGTTGTGATATCAGGGTAATGGTGGCTTCATAGAATGTCTTTGGGAGTGTTCCCTCCTCTTCAACTTTTTGGAAGACTTTGAGAAGGATCAGTATAAGTTCTTCTATGTATGTTTGGTAGAGTTCACCTGTGAAGCCATCTGGTCCTGGACTTTTGTTTGTAGGAAGTTTTTAATTACAGATTCCACTTCACCTCTCATGATCAGTCTGTTCAAATTATCTATTTCTTCTTGATTCATTATTGGTGGGCTGTATGTTTCTAGAAACTTGTCCATGTCTTCTATGTTGTCGAATTTGTTGGCATATAATTGTTCATAGTATTCCCTTATGTTTTTTTTGTATTTCTGCAATATCAGATGTAATGTCTCCTTTTTCATTTCTTATTTTGTTTACCCAGGATCTCTCTCTTTTCTTCTTGGTGAGCCTGGCCAAAGGTTTGTCAATCTTGTTACCCTTTCAAAGAACCAATTCTTGGTTTTATTGATTTTTTTCTACTTTTTTTAATCTTTATTTTATTTCCTCTCTGATATTTATTATTTCCTCCCTTCTGCTGGCTTTACATTTTGTTTGTTCTTTTTTTCTAATTCTTCTAAGTGGTAGGCTATGTTGTTTATTTGAGAATTTTCTTGTTTTTTTGGTGAAGGCTATGAACTGTATTGCTATGAACTTCCCTCTAAGGACTGCATTTGTTGCATCCCATAGATTTTGTATTGTTGTGTTTTCATTGTCATTTGCCTCAAGGTATTTTTTAAATTTCCTCTTTGATTTCATCCTTGACCACTTGGTTTTTTAGTAGCATGTTATTGGGTCTCCATGTAATCTTTTTCCTCACTTCTTTTTCTGCGGTTGATTTTCGTTGAATGCTGTTGTGTACAGAAAAGATGTTTGAGATAATTTCTATACTCTTAAATTCATTGAGGTCTGTTTTGTGTCCCAATATGTGATCATTCCTAAAGAATGTTTCATGTGCACTTGAAAAGAATGTGTAGTCTGTTTTTTTTTTAATGTAAAGTCTTGAAAATATCAATGAAGTCTAACTGTTCTATTGTATCATTTAGGACATTCTGTTTAGAATATCTGTCCATTGATGTGAGTGGGGTGTTAAAATCTAATTATTGTATTCCTGTCAATTTCTCCCTTTATTTCTGTTAGTATTTGTTTTATGTACTTGGCTGCTCCTATATTATGTGCATATATGTTGACTAGTGTAAAATCCTCTTCTTATGTTGAGACTTTTATCATTATATAGTGTCCTTCTTTATCTTTAGGGCCTTTGTTTTAAAGTCTATTTTGTTTGAT